AGAGAGAGAGAGAGAGAGAGAGAGATGCAGTAATCATGGATACTGATTGTCGTGTTCTTTCTGGTGCCTTTGCAATCACTCTCTATCCTCTGTGAATCTGGCATTATTGAGACTTGAGAAGCATTGTGCTATTTTCTAATATTATATTGTGTGCTATTTTCTTATATTGTGTGATACTAAGGATACCTATTTCCTAAAAGCCAAATTGTTCTTCAATTCGCATACAGGTGGGAAACTGGTCTAGATGCTTAAATGACCTTTTTGGGATCGAAGCTGATGATTCCCCATCAGATGCCAAAACCGACAATGAGAATGATGAGAGACAAGGCAATGACATGGCATCCAAATCATTCCACCTTATCTCCATTCTTAGCGATCTACTGATGCTCCCAAAGGACATGCTCACAGATAAAATGATCAGGAAAGAGGTAAATCTCCATTAAGATTAAGTACACTACATTCCAATGGACTATGAAAATTACATACTGCATTGAGTGATCATTGTCCAATGAAGTGATCAGTGGTGGTGTTGGCAGGGGGATCCACTAGAACAGGACATAAGCCCCAATAGTGGATCTCACTCTCTTTCTATCGCTCTGAATCATTTCATTCGATGGCCCATTGACTATGGGTGAATGGCTAGTGGTGTAATAGTCTTTTGGACTATGAGATATTCTTCTCCCCGAAAATTTAACCTTCTTTATCCTTGATTTGAATGAAAATTGTCTCATCTAATCTCTTGCTTTCAAATTTATAAAGGTGTGTCCTGCATTTGGCCTACCTTTGATAATGCGCATACTCTGCAACTTTACACCCGATGAGTTTTGCCCCGATGCTGTCCCTGGAGCTGTTTTGGAGGCGCTTAATTCTGAGGTACCAACTCCCTCTCTTTGGCAAACATGCTCTTCTTCTTCTCTTTGCAATAGTACAAGTATTACATTTTTGTACTGCTAAGTTCCGCTAATATTTTAGTCCAAAATTATAGCTGGAAAATAGCATTCTGGTGATATTTGATTGTGAACTTAGCTTGGGAAAACAGTAAGCTTGATGTGAGATACTGCGCTATGTGCTTTTAATTTAAAAATATCCCTACAATAACATGTTGCAAGGAAATATTTTCTCCTACATTTATATAATATTGTAAAAAAAAGTGGTTGGGCTTTCCAACACAACGGGGATTCTTGTCCCTACACTCTCAGTTCAAATTTGAAGTCCATCTGTACAAATGCTGACATGCAAATGCACAAACATGAGGAAGAGAGAGAGAGAGGTAGGTTCTAACCATTTGTGAATGCAAACATGTACAGATCATTTCAGAGCGAGTCATTTCAGAGCGAAGGCCGTCAGCTGAGAACAAAGAACTGATAAACAGCATTCCATGCACCGCCTCTTCAATTGTATACAGCCCACCTTCAGCTGCTAATGTAGCCGAGAAGGTCGGTGACTCACATTTTCAAAGAGCTGGGCTAAACAGGACTACATCAATGGTTTTAAGGAAAGGCCACACAAGTGATGAAGAATTGGAGGAGCTGGACTTTCCTCTAGTCTCGGTCATCGAAAAAGCCCTGGTTTCTCCTACCATACTCAATGTAGGGGATCACGGTGGTGGCTCAAACGTTAGATACGAGCTCTTGCGTGAAGTGTGGTCAGCTGGTGTATGAAGGTGAGTTTTGATGAGAGTTGATTCATGCTTTTGATTATATATTCTTGTGTATAGAAGAAGAAAATAAGGAAATTGCTGGTGCTTTGTAATAGTCAAGAGATTCAAGGCTGCCTTTTTGGAAAATGGAAGCGGTAGTTTTGGGTTTTGTTCACTTCTTTTTGGGATATAAGCATATAAGATGAAAGTTCAATTCCTTGTCAAGGGCATTACTCCTTGCCATTTGAAGACGAAGAGACCAAACAATTCGGGAATCTCTCGTGTAGGAAGCAGGGGTTACCATAGCAAATTGGGGAATAATAATATATTGGCTATAAAGTTGGTGATATATTGGTTTTGGTCGAAAAAATCAGAGGCAAAATTTGGGGCAAAAACATGATTGCAAAGTAGGTGAGCTCAGATTCTCTTGCTAAAAGGGGGTGCCCACCAACAATTGGTGATCACTGACCTTAGCCCTCCTTTTTGGTAATACCTTTTTGTGTTATTTATGTATGCATAAAATCTCATAATTAAAGTTAAAAAAAAAAAGAAAAGAAAAAAAGGTATGTTAGCTAGAAGATGGCGAATATGTCGTATTTATTTGGCTAAAAGAACAGAGCAAAAGGTTGTCGGGATATAAATGTGCATTTAACAAGTAGATTGTATATTAGGAGATCATTTACCGTATGTCAAATCATTTATCATATGTCAAATTGGATGGCTTGAGGTGTATGTTATCCCTTGGCCTTGTTGGCACTTTGCCAAGTAACGGACACTTGACTTCTATCTTTCTTTGCTTTGCCCGGGAGGCAAAGGTGCCAAGCCAATCAACTGTTTCAGCTAAGATACCTGGGACCGAACCCTAAACTCGAGGGGGGACCTAGTCCATAAACTTATCCCGAAAAAAGGCCAAGTGAGCAAGTTTGAAGTTTTTTCTTTTTTTAAACTGAGTCTAGTCAATGAATACTTAGAACCACTTGATTTAAAATCTGATGGGCAAGAATACTTGTGACCTCTTTATACTAAAAATAAATAGTCATTGTATTATATATTTTTTTCTTTAACAAGAAACTTGTTTGGTACTGCCGCGGGAAAAAGAGAGCTGTGTTTTGCAGAATGTACACAGAGAGAAATCCAATGTACATTGAGAGAGGGAAAGAGAGAGAGAGAAGGGGAGAGAGATTGGTAGGTGTCGTGGCCAAATCCTTTTCGATTTAAGATGGCGTGGTCAGAAGAAAAAAGTGGCTGCGGAGATCACTAAACAAGTATGGCTATATTGCCATTTCGGGTACATGTTATCTAAAAAATTAAGTTGTTTGAAGCTCCAATTGATTCGATTATAGGCCGCAATATAGTATACTTCAAGACCGTCAAAGTTTTATAGCATATAGCAGGATCAATTGGGCTTTACGAGTGAACAAAATGTGGAGAGGTTGGAGTAGCAAAGCACCTGGCACAAGTGCATAAGAATGGAAGAAGTTGATTGGAGGTAATGGACTACAGTAAAATGCGCAAAGGAACACAAAATGCCTTAACTCAATGGCCAATGCTAGAAGGAGAAATAATAATATAACGGGATTATACCTCCCAAATATTGAAGAGGAGATCAAGACGGATGGGAAATTGCTGTAATACTATTATGAATTATTTCAAGGCAGCTTTCACAGGTTGAGAAAAGTTGAAAGTGATAGTCAAATGTGCCATTTAAAACTTTGGCCCAACATGTCGTTGTTCAGCTAGAGGAGGATGCATCGAAGGAGGAAATTAAGAAGGCAGTTTTCGAGATAAGATGCCGGCGCCTCATGGGTTTTCATTAATTTTTTTTGAGAGTTTGTCAAATTGATATTTTGTTGATGGTGGAGGAACTTTTTAAGAGAAATTATCAACAAGAGGTTACATGCCACATGTTTCTCTTATTTTTAAAAAAATTTACACGTTTCAATTCTTCATCATATTTGGCCACTTAGTCTATTCACAAGCTATATTAGCGACTAGACTACGGAGAGTCTTACCATTAATTATTTCAGGGCCACAATTAACTTATATACAAGGGAGATTAATTATAGACAATATTCTTATAGCACAGGAAAGCATTCATTATCCAAAGTTGGAAAATAAACCAGGAATACTCTTTGATTTAGATATAGAAAAAGCTAATGATAGAGTAAACTAGTATATGTTACATGAAATTATAAGTGATAGGATTTGGAAAAAAATGGAGGTTGTGGGTAAAAGGATGTTTATCTGGAACCCATTTCTTAGTGCTAATTCGGGGCAGTTATAAAGCATTTTTTAATGCATCCAAAGAAGTAAGACAAAGGGACCCCTTGTCCTCATTTCTTTTCACACTAATGGTCGAGGGTTTAAGTATAATGGTGGAGAGAATTGAGGAGAGATGATTCTTTAGAGGTTTTCAAGTCTCTCAAGATGCTTCAAGAATCTCTCACTTCCAACATGCCGATGACACATTGAATCTTTTTTTTTGATACTGAGTTGAATCAAAGTTTCCATTCCAGTATGTGTTTGTAGTGTTGTGAGGTTTGGGACTCAACCAATTTTGAAGAAGTTACTATTTGAGTGCCTGGAGAGGTTTAGTAGAGGTTGGCGAAAATGTTTGGGTCCTATGAGGTATCTGGGTATATGTATATTTTGGATTCTAGATTATTGTATGACCCCATCATTCAACATTTTCATTATAAAGTAAATCTATAGAAAGCAAAATATTTTTCGGCTTGTATTACTCTCATTAAATCTAGTATCCCAAATTTACCTATCTATATGATGTCTTACTATACTTACCTACAGGTATTACAAGTAGGCTAGAGAGATTGATGATGAATTTTTTATGGGGATCTCTTGAAGAAGGAAGAAAGTATCATCTAGTAAAGAAAGGAGTATGGGAATTCGACGGTTAAAGCTTATGAATCAAGAGCTTCTAGTTAAATGGTGATGTTTGCATAAGAAACAAGGGAATGAACAACCATAGAGTGAGGTCCTTGTTGCCAAATATAGGGTAGATAGAAATCAATCTTTAATAGGATGAGGGAGAAGAGGCAGGAAAACTACTTCGGAATTTCTAATGGTAAGCCTCTACTAAACAGAGAAATATTCGATGGTTGGTAGGTTATGGTGATCATATCAGTTTTTGGATGCAGAAGTGAATAGGAGGGAATTGAAGGTGTAGTCAAAAGAAAAGTGGGAGGAAGTTGTGTACCACCACAGGTAGTTTTAAACTTAATTTTAATGGCAGTCCTATGGGAAAACCAAAACCAGTGATAACGTCATTACTACATTTTCGGGACCTTATGGTATTGTGACTGCTAATTATGCTGAATTGTGTATTATACTTACAAGCAGGCAATTATTGAAGGGAGGGGAGGGGAGGCGGGGATTCTCTAAATGCCATTAGACGATGCCAAAAAGAACAATGCGTGAGACGATGATAGTCACTTCTACTCATGTGGCTAGAGAAGCCAACTAGAAGCTGCTAACCTCTGAAAAATGGGAGTCTCTCCGTCACAACTGACGTTTACTTTTTGATATTTTTTAATTGATCTTGTAACTAGTTAGATTTAATGAAGCCATGTAATTCTTTCAAACAATAAATTAATAAAAAAAAGCAAGGTGTGGGTCCGATTCCCATCAATTGAGAGAGATCATAATTAGCAAGTCTCCGATTAAGACAAGATTTTTTTTGAAAAGCTCTTTAAGTTTTTGAAATCCATTAAAAATTTTGAGTTTTTCAAAAATTCTTCCAAATTTGAGTCTTTTATCTTTTTAAAAAAATCTTCTTCACCATAATTTTATTAAAACTTCCATTCTATTTATTGATTCGATACACCTTTGAAATTTGGTCTAGACATTAAAAGTGAGACTAAATTACAATTTTGATTATCTGCTAATGTTTTGTTTAGTATTGCAGTTGTTTCAAAGTTTTGTATCGTAACAGTAAAATAAGCATTATTAATGCATTAAAAAAAAATCTAAACAAAGATTTGTCAATTATACCCTAATAATACTAGTCAAGAACGAAATATTATTGTCCAATGACTTTCATGTATCAATGCAATAACGGTAAATCATATCTTATCTTGTGTGTGAACTATATATATACATTTTTTTATTCAACCTTTTCGAGCCAATTCCAAAATATTCACAATTCTTTAACTCACATAATTTTTTACAAGGTGCGGTTTGTATAGAGCCGAAGCTCTAAACAATCAAATTAGAGCTTACCTTTAAGTGGTGTCGAGAAATATGGTTTCCAATACTGAAAAGTTTTGTGATAGCCTTAAATTATATTTTCATCTTTAGTTATAAAATTTAAAGCTTCAAAAATAGTATAGATCAAGTAGATCTATGAAAACTTGAACATTAACGGTCCAAAAATGCGTTACAAGATGCACTATTTCCAAAACTTGAAATCCATTGTTTTCTCCTGTCCATGCATCTTGATGTCGAGATGATCAATTTGATGATATTTGAACATATAAACAACCACAGCTAGTGAAAGTATCAAGGTAGGCTCTAATATGATTGTTTAGAGCCTTGGCTCTATATAAACTTATCCCTTTATCTTTAGTTTAGCCTGATTTTTTGCCTCCAACTTTTAGGAACAAAAACGATTTCTTACCGACATTTTTGCAGCCGAATTCTTAGGAACGTTTGGATCCCTGGAAGTTTCGATCCTAAAAAAAGTCAATCTTGGAATTGAGATTTATTGGAATTGACATTTCCTGGAATATTGTTAAGGAAATTGTTCTTATGAGGCTGCGGCTACACCCAAAACTGCATAGCTGCACCTCATTTCACTAATTTTCTCAACATCTGAAGACCTGAAAGCAAAGTCTACTTCTTCTATAAACCCAATAAAACCAATCTCCAGCAAAGAAGGGAAAAAAAGGACTTGGGGCACTAATAATGCTCTATCTCCATTTGTCATAATCAAAACCATCCATTTCGATGGACAATAGATCCATTGGGCTTTTGGAGCTTTTTAGGAGCTCAAGATCAATACTTGCGTTGGGAAATAATTTACAGAAACTTTGGAGCTTGTCTAAATACTCTTATATACAAAAGAATGGACAAAGAGGCACGGTTGCATGGTTCTACAGTGTAAGCAAGGCTACACCATAACCTAAGCTCCTTTTAAATTGGTTTCTCCTCCAAGAGAACATGGTTGCATTTAATAATGCAGTCACAAGGAGGGTCAAGCATCACAAATTCTTATGTGGGACTCATCGAACAAACTCTCACCAAACGACGACAAGGGCTGTATGAACAAGGTTACCTGCACAGCAAACATCTGAAGCAAGAACATTCACCATACACGACCTCATACAATGACATCCCTACTGAAATCAGAAAGCAATGAGGAAGCAGCTGCGCATTAAGATGAATAGGACATTTGAAGTAATCGAAATGGAAGGATCAGAAAAGTAAAATTTATATGCTCATAGCATCTTCATAGCAAATTGATGACTCAACCAGTTCCTCCATTCCTTGTCCTACAAAGCCCCAAAAAGAAAGACACTGAAGAATATGAGTTGATCAATGGGAGAGGGATAAGAAAGTAGAAGTTTGCATCAAAGAGGATCTACATCCATCACCAACGAA